TATGTCCTTGTTTGCATAATTTAGAAAAATGAAGCCTTTCTAAACATAAATTATTAGTAGGATTCAAATTAGAGTTTTGATTTTATGACTCTATTAACAAATATGGTGGCCTGGACTTACATGACTGAAATAGAAGTTTTGGGATTTAAGTGGAGGAATTAGCAAAGTTTTAACTAAGGATTTTTGCTTTGGAGTTTTTTTTTTTTGAACGGCAATAATATGATTAATTATATATTAATAAGCGAAGTACAAGGGGTACCCCAAACCCATAGCAATACTGTTAGAAAAGTCTAATTTTCCCTGAGTGAAATAGCAAAGTGTCGGCACCCACTAAAAGTGTCGACACTACACTCGTGACGAACTTCAATCTACCATTGCATAATCTTCATATCTCCCTATACAGATCATCAAAATCTTCCTAATATTGAATTCCACTGGCAATCACATCATTGAGCATGCATTGACTACTTCTACTTTAACCCACTCATTTTTGCTTTGGAGTTAGTAAGACCTATGGGACAATTGTTTTATTTTAGACTTAATATTTTTTTTTTGATCGGCCAAATAAAATTTTTATTTAATGAAGCACAAGGGGTGCTTCAACCCATCTACAAACATTTGGCACCCACGTTTTGATGGTACCCACATATGATGGGAGCTAAGCTCCTACAACCAGAATTTGACACAACCTGATCTAAAGCAAAACCATCTGCACTTACAAACCATCAACCAGGGGGCCGGAATGTCTTATAGAATTGCTTCCTCATCCTTTTATGATTTTTGACAGACATAGCACACTCCTTCGGACAAGATTGCCATTCATGAAAGGAGAAAACACAGCCATTCACTTTAGATTTAATCCATAAAAAGGTTTTTACTTGCACCCTTTCCAGCAGGTTTCCTATAATTCCTTCATCGTTTCGAAATACCTGAGCATTGCGTCTATACCATAAATACCAGGTGACCACTAGAAAAATACAGGCTCCCATCTCTTTACCAACTATTCTTCCTAAACCACATAAGAAAAAATCTGTCATTCCCACCACTGTATTAGGCAAGACACTCTCCACCCCCCACCATCTCAACACTTGTGCCCAAACACCCCATGCCTTATAGCATACACAAAATAAATGATTAACTTCCTCCACTGTCCCATTGCAATATTCACAAAAAACCCCTTCTTGTAACTGAATCCCGCGTTTTTGAAGGTTTACCTTTGTTGGGAGCCTATCTAAACATAAACGCCACCCAAAAAAAGCCACTTTTGATGGCACCCAACTGCACCATATTAATTTGCACATTGGGTCCTCTAAAATACACTCCGTATATGCTAGAAAATCATAGGCTGTTTTTACCACATATTTGCCTTCCATCTCATGAACCCACTTCCATACATCCCTCACCCCCTCCTTTAGATAAACCCCCTCCAGCATCTTCTCCAGCAACTCCTCCTCATTTTTCTCACGTCCTATTGTTCCCCTCCTCCACTCAACCCGCCACACCCATTTTCCCTCTTCCCAAAATCCCATTTCAGAAACCTTTCCATCCTTCTTTACTGATAACTCAAATAACCTTGGAAATAAATCCCTAAGATTTTTATCACCAACCCACCACTCATGCCAAAAGGCCACTATATTACCCTCTCCCACCTCCCACTTGAAACCCTCAGCCAGCATGTTCCTATGTTTCAAAGACTGACCCCCTATCCTAATAATATCCCTCCAAAGTTTTGAAGTCCTCGCACACTCAATCGCAGTGATATCTACCTCCTTCCTGCCTCCATAGTATTTCTCCCTCACCACCCTTTTCCACAAACTGTCAACCCCATCACCCATCCTATACCACCACTTCCCTAGCATTGCCCAATTTTTTCTACGCAAATCCGGCACCCCTAAACCTCCCTTCGCCTTAGCACTACAAACATAGTCCCATTTGACCCATGAAATCTTCTTATTTAACCCTGTCCCTCCCCATAAAAAACTCCTTTGAATTCTAATCATTTCCGCAAGCACAACATTAGGCAATAAAAATAACGACACCTCTATCTTATTTTAATTTAAGGAGAATGGTTGTTTTTCATCTAATTTGTACATACTAATAAAATGGGATTCTATACAACCTAATCTACATGTCTTACATTATGACTATCTAAGTTGTGAAAAATCAAATCCAAAGAAACTGTGTTTTCCTATGGAAAAGAGATTTAGATTTCATTATGAAATTGGAATGACTTCATGACTTGTGATAATGCTTTAGAAGGGAGTGAGATGCCTG